TGGCTATGTATAGTATACATGTGATTGTATGTTATGAAATTGAAATAAAAATATGTTAAAAAAAAAAAAGGAAAGGCCATTAATTAGACCAAGGGTAATCTATTCAATTCCAGAACTGGAATTAAATTAAATAAATACACTTTAATATTCATAGAAATCATTCCTTGACCATAGCTACTTTTTCTGGAATCATATTTTGTTACTCCTGCCAAAATTAGGCAACATTGAATGTGTTTATATTATTACATTAAGTATATACATCAGATACATACATGCTTATTCTTTATATGACGTAAATATTAAGCCTGATTTATAACATTTCATTGAAACTCCTCAAGTTAAAGCATTAGCTACCCAATCCAAGGGTAACTCCTGGGAATTACATAATTGTCCAAGTTCTCTAACATTTACAGTATTTATCAGAAAAAACGTTTTCCCCATTATTTTATTCATTTTTATTTTTATAAATTGACCACAAGGCAGTGGTGGGTTACAGCCAGTACGCCTCGGTACATCTGTATTGGTGCCTGCTAGGAGCACCAGGTACCGTTCCGTTATGGTGCTCCAGAGGGCCCACCCACCCGCCCGCCCTCTTTACCTGTATTTGACCCAGCTGGGCCATTTGTGCATGCGCATGGAGTATACAGCGCCTGTGCAATGCTCCGAGCATCTGGAGCGTTGCGGGTGGTGGGTGCGCATGCGCACACAGCGTGCATGCACGTAGTGGACACCCTGCCCCATCACAGCGTACCAGTTGCGATTGGATCTGGAACCCACCACTGCCACAAGGGTAGTGTATTAATTCTCTTTCTCTCTTTTACACATACGTATCCTATGGATTTAAAAGAGGTGGACTACAACAATAAAAAGAAAACAAAGGCAGGTCCATTTTCCAGTAAGTATTTTTTATGGCTCACAAGATTCAGAAAAATCTTTCTATAGAAGAGGGAATGGTCTTGGAATTTGAGAGCCAGCCAGGAAAAGGGAGGAAGTTGAGAATAACTTTTCCAAGGTTGACATATCTCTTCCAAGTTCATCCTCACTAATATACTATTTCACATTAAACCATTTGTTCAGGACCTGTATTGTTGTGACCTCTTTAAAGGAAAGGGTCAAGGTATATCTGTCACTCTTTCCAAGGGAAAACTTGCCTGAACACATTACCTATGAGAAGTGCTGTGATCAGGTCCATTTACCATTCATTTGACAGGAGAGAGTTAAGAAACTGATAACAAAATAATGTTTATTTGTATGTCTTTGAGAGAATAAAATGTATCTTCATTAGAGTGTATCTGAGTGAATAGTTTGTGGTGGAAATTAAAAGATGGACTTCCCATTTTTTAATTCCTTTTTAGAAGGGATCCTACCCATGATATTGAAAGAAATTCAAATAGTATGACTGGCAGTCAATATTTTTGTTATGATATATGAATATAAAAATAATACGTTAGGCAAGTAAATTACTTTTCCTTAAACACACTTTTCAAGTTAAAAATAAACTGCCAGCTTTACGTTTCTGTTAATTTGTGCATTAAAAAGGTAATAAACCACTGGGCATCAAGGATACTTAGAAGAAAGCAACATCCTAACAGAAATGTTCTTACACCCCTTGTTTAACTCAAGAATGTTATTGTATTCACCACTATTACTTTACTAACTGTGAATTAACATGCATATGCCATAACAATTTCTAGGACCTGCTATATTGATTAAATTTATATTGTAATTTGCATAATACCATAAATAATCTCTTCCATCCTTTTATCTTATTGCTCTGATACAAAAATAAAACAAATTCTGTTTTGATATAATTTCACTGTCTAAATAAAATAGCAACTATTTTAAAAAAGAAACAAATCATAATCCAGAAAACAAACTCTATACAAGTAGTCCTTGACTTATGACCATAATTGAGTCCAAAATTTCTGATGCTAAATGAAACATTTGTTAAGTGACTTTTGCTCATTTTATGACCGTTCTTGTCATAGCTGTTAAGTGAATCCTGCAGTTATTAAGAAGTTAGTACTATGATTGTGAATTGACTTCCCCATTGTTAAGTGAATCTGGTTTCCCCATTGACTTTTTAAGGCCACAAAAGATGATCACGTGACTCTGGGAAACTGCAACTGTCATAAATATGAGACAGTTGCCAAGCATCCTAATTCTGATCACATGATCATGGAGATATTGCAATGGTAGTAAGTGGGAAAACATTGATAAGTCACATTTTTCAGTGTCATTGTAATTTTAAATGGTCATTAAATGAACTGTTGTAAGTCAGGACTACCTGTATAACAATAAAAGACCCTTAAAAACCCCTAGCACAATTCTGCCCTAAAGACTGAGAAAGCAGCTAAAATTTTAATTACTTTCTGAATGTCACTGAGGTGGTATCCAAATGGATTCCTGCAGGGATGCTGTTCCAGAGAGCAGGAATTGTAACAGAGAAAGCATATTTCCTGGATTCCAACAAATAATGCTATTTTATGAAGGGGACAATTTATACTGATAATGCTATCTGCACTTAGTTCCATGGTTAACCACAAAAAATTAATATAAGCAAGTCCATTTGCTTAGACAAATAGCTCATTTCTTGCACCCTTCTTGACCTGACTCCTAATGGCTAGTGTGTCTTGTTCAAAAGATTCAGTTGGACAAAGTGTTCAAGAATAGATATTTCTTTTTCAGTTAAAATAAAAATAACTCCATTTCCTTCTATAATATGTATAATAAGAAGGGTTTTTTTTTCCTTTCCACATGCTTAAATTGTCACTTACTATGGGAGGAGGCAGTGATCTGGTTCAAGAATATACATGTCATGAAAAGAAAAATAAGTTCATTTTCATCTCACAAATTTTAAAAAAATGCCTTTAAAAAAAAATCTATGAAAACATTGTGGGGAAAGAGGCTATGTTACTGTATAATAAGAAGAGGGTATTCCCCTCCCTCATGCCCATAAACTTTCACTTACTAGCAGGCAACGAACTGGGTTCCCTCTCAGATCTGTGTCCGGGGCCTGCAGCAAATGCCAGTCTCTGCCTTTGTTGTAGGTGATGAAAGTTTTTACTTGGTTGTCAATCTTCTTGTTAGCCAAGAACATACCCTTTATCCCTGCTACCTAGGAGAAATTGACATGGCTGAAAAACAAGATAAATTTGACACAAATTGTGTGTGCATTTGGTACCTGTCAAATCTAGCTTTAGAAATAGCATACAGAATGAATATGTAGCAGGCTCGGAGGTGAAAATTGCATCAAAAGATTTCTTACTTACCAGAGGTTGGGGGAAAAAAATAAGATGGAAACTACTGTGTTTTCAGACAGGTTAGAAGAAGATGTTGCAGGGTTGAATATAAAAAACAAAATGTAGATTTTGATGAGGTGACTGGGACAAAAGCAGTCACAATCATCTGAGTTTTATTTAAGCTTGTAGATGGTAAAAAAAAGGTGTGTGTTTCATTGAATATAAATTCTACACCTTCATATAAATCATGTTCACCTGTGTTTGGGTAGACAGGGTTATCTGTGTGTGTATCTTTCTGTTTGTTTGTGTGTGTGTGTATTTCTATGTGTGCATTTAGGAACTCTTTGGGAGAAGGGAAATCATCAGCTCCTTTGAAGGAGACAATATTGTGCACTTTCCAGAGAAGCCATTTCTTGATCTGGCTTTATTATACAACACTAATTCCGATCTTATTTAAAAGCTTGGAAGGTATAATTACATATCTCATCTGTTTGTTTTTCATTTGTGGCTTAGGCCACAGTGGGCAATGGGTGGAAGCCAGATTGTTATTTTGATGGATCACCTTTTTCAGACCCATGAGGTAGAGAGATCAGCTATCTTGATCCTATTAGACCTCTCAGAGGTATTTGATACTATCAGTGGCATTGTTCTGGGCCACTTGGAGGGTTGCAGGTAGAGATGGCACTATTTTCTAATGACTTCACTCCATTATGGAAGGATGGATATGGATTATGAATTGGGGTTGCTGTACAAGGAGTCAATCCTAGTGGAAACACTGGCTTCATATCTGCTGTTATTTAGCTCCAAATACAATTCAAAGTACAAATTAAAACTAAACAATTTTATATGGTTGTCCAGTTTGACTAATTGTAGCTGTTTATGGAATAGGGAGCCCTGAAGACTAAAAGTCATAACTCATCATCTTGAGATTGGATTACTGCAATTCTTCTGTTTCTTTTGAAGATGAATTGGAAACTGAAGTTGATACAATTTATTTGCTTGAACTTGATAGTTCTTACATATGCTTTCAGTCATATATTATTAGTTCTGGAGATGCTACATGATTCCAAATACAATTCAAAGTGAAAATTCAATCTAAACACTTTTATATGGTTCCTGGTTATTTTTATGATCACCTCCTTTTGGCTAATTTGCCTGAATTATGTCCCAGCACTTGCCCCACATCAATTGTATGTCCCAACACTTACTCCAAAAGGCAAGGGAAAATGGTCTTTACTGTGGCTACCCTATTCCTAAAGAATTGTCTCTCTCCTTGAGTCAAGGCTGCCCTAATTTGTTATTTTTCAAAAGGCAGTGAAGACAACTGAAAAAGAAAATGTTGTTTCAACATTTAAACTGCTTGCTTGCTCAATTTGTAAATTTTAAGGTAAGAAAGCTTTATAGTTTGCTTTTTACTCATTTTGATGCTAATTTACTTTTAACCAGTTTTTACAGACTTGTTTTTAAGGTTTGATGGTGCATATTGTTTGTTTTATTATGTAAATTTATTGTGTAAATTTATTTATGTAACATAATTTTCACCAAATTGAAAGACCCGGTAGAGGAAAAACCCCAGTAGAATCTTTCTGCATTTATTGTTTTGCTTAATAGATTCTACTAACTCTTTCTTCATAAATTTGTCTGATTCTTCCTTAAAACAAGTGTATATAAGGAAACATAGCCAGGGCCACTCTTTCCTCTTATTATATCTTATTTTATCATGAATTGTCAAACTATCATCAAGTCTTATATAGTAATTCTAATTAATGTAATGAAACAGAAGCAAATGACACATTTTTTTCCCTTCAGAAATGATACCGAACGATTGATGATAATCTTTTACAATCTGATATTTTCCTCTTATGTTGGACTGATATTTCCATAATTCCAAAGGAAGCCCAGAAGGTACAGGTTAAAGGAAATAGTCCACAAAATTTTGATATAATTCATTTATTTGAGAATAAAAGTAGAACGGATAAGGGAGAAGAAATGAAAAATAACTTTCATTCATCAAAAAAGCTGGACTTTGTCTATGTGCTAAAAATCAATATTCCAATATCTCTAGTTTCTCTTAAGATCAAATAAATCTTTTGGGTTTTTTGCCCAATATTTACAGCAGCATGAGATTCTGCCTTTGGATAAATTGCTGTTTCTGCAAGAGAGTAAGTGGGGTGGAGAGACTCCTTCTGTCTTTCAGCAGGCAATTTCTGGTTATGACATCCTATACTGCTTCCTTGGCATGGTCAACAACCTCAAATATATTTTTTCTTCATAGCCATTGTTGTTTTACTATTATTCAACAGCTGGGTATTGTAGTTCTAGAAAATATTACCAGTGTTTAAAGTTATATTGTTGAAGTCTAGCTTTAGGAAGGTGAAAGGAAATAGAAAATGTGAACATCTAGGAAAGACAGAGAAGTACAAAGGTTTCTGCTTGATCTAAATTTTTGAAAGGATACCAAGCAGTTTTAATTAGCATTTGGCACCATTATTGGTTTTTTGGGTTGCAGATAAGTGATAAAAGCATACACATACTTTCCCATGTTAAAAGTAATGAAATTTATAAATTTAAATTTGCATCTTTATTTCAGATAATAGTTGCATATAAAGAAATTCACATTTGCTGAAATATAATATGCATGTTTACTGTATGCTTCTCCTATAAAATTCCTTGATTTTATATCTGCATGTACATAGTAAACAAAAAATAATAATTCTGTGGGTATAAAGAAAAGAGGAATGCAGTAATATCTACAGTAAATAAGCAATGCAAGGAATCAAGAATTTGAGTTGCAGAAAAAAATGGTGTATATATACATATGCATATATACAAACATACACACACGAATGAAAATTATAGAAATCAAGAGAATATTTTTTCACAAAGATTGACCTAGTAAAAGACTAAGAAGGCAGGGAACAAAGAAGGTCATAAATATGTGGTAAAACTACAAAAAAAAAAAACCTGAATCACTGATCCACACAAAGGATAATGATCAATGTAGAACAGTAACTTTTAGCAAATAAAGTTAAATGTGCCTCAGAAAGTATTATCAATAACAATGCTCATTCAGTAGACAAAATACAAGCAGAACTGCTTAAAATCTTGCAAGTTGATGCTCTTAAAATACTGTTTGCAGTTTGTAGGCAAATATGGAAAACACAGCAGTAGCTGCAGGACTGAAAAAGGTCAATCTATATTCCAATCTAAAAAAAATTGTCGCGGTAAAGAATAATCCAACCACCAAATAATTGCATGTAGTTATCATCCTTGTAAAATAATGCTCAAAATGTTGCAACCCAGACTTCAGCAGCATATGGAATAAGAACTATCAAAGGTGCAACCTGGTTTCAGAAGCGGAGGCATCCAGGATTACATTTCAACCACCTTATGGATAATGGAAAAGCCAAGAGAGTTTTTGCCTTAAGGCAAATATTAAGTTTTCTGACTGCATGAACAAATTGTGAACAGCCTTCAAAAATTTTGGTGTGCTGAACACCTGAATTGCAAATTGAAGAAACCCTATGTTGATCAAGAAGTAACAGTTAGAATGGAATATAGGACAGCTAACTGTCTCAAAGAGGAAATAGGAATGCAGTAAGAATTAAATACTGTCACATGTTCTATTTAAGTTTATACAGAACTTATCATAAAAATGTTGAAGTAAAAATATGATTTGTAAAAAATACAATAATCTGAGATAGTCTGATGATACCCTTAGGTAGGGAAGATTTAAGTAATCTTGTGTTGAAGCTAAAAGACAAAAGTATAAAACTACAAATAGGTGAAGAAACAGTAAAAGTAATAACAAACATTCTTTCCTTGGTTACAAAATCTATAGAGATAGTGACTGAACATGAATTAAGGAAACTTGGGCAAAAAAACTGTGACAAATCTAAGCAAAATAATACCATTTCCAAGAAAGATGCAGATTATTAATTGAAGGGCGTTCTTGTTCATCAAATGGCTGTAAAATTTGCATCATTTAAAAAATTGAATAAAGAAAATTAGTGCCTCTAATTGTCATGCTGGATAAAATTATTCTGAGTACCTTGATTAGTAGGAGGAACATGTCATTCAGTAACAGATTTAAAAAAGCAGGTCAGGAAAGTACTGATAGTGAAGTATTTTGTATACATAAAGATGAAGCAATATTAAGACTTTGGAGAAAGTCTTGCGTCTTTGCAAAAAATGATGGTAATAAAAAAAAGAGAGATCAACAGGACCTCTGAAGCCTAGGTACCATTATTGATATCATGAGCATGAAAAGAACTCATTTACCAAAAGACAGTTCTGGAGTATGATTGTCCATCACATCACAAAGAGTTGGAAGTGACTAAATGATTGAGCAATAATAATGATTAAACATTATGAGTGAAGAACTGGTTCATGAGTATTTTGAATATAGCCCATACATATTTTGGTGCAAAAATAAAATCACTCCAATATTATACTGTATATAAAAATGTATTTTTGTTTTTTGTTTAAAAAAACTTCCTTTTTAATAGTTAATGGGGTAGACTACTCAAAATGTTTTAAATAGAAAAGCCCTCTTATTACATATGAGTGATGTTTAAAGTGAGTATATGGAAGGCAGAGTCATGTACAATGGCATTACTTCCTACATCTTTGCAAATCCGAGTATATTTTTCTTTAAGATCTTCTGGATAGAAACAAGAACTTGTGTGAGGGCAAGGGCAGAGTACAAGGAATACAAACATGTAGCGAGCAATGCCAGTATACCAGGGGTGGGTTTCAAAATTGTTCGAACCTACTCTGTGGGCGTGGCCTCCTTTGTGGGAGTGGCTTGCTTCCCATGTGACCGGATGAGAATGGCCTGCCGCCCATGTGACCTGGTGGGAGTGGCCAAGACGATGTTATTACTAGATATT